CTTGTCCCGCGTGCGTGCTCCATTGAGCCTGCAGCTATGCAGTTTCTAGAGGGGGAGGCCCGAAGTTAAAGTCGATGCCGAGGTCGTAATTCGATTAACACCTTTCGGGTGGCGGGGAGAAGGCAACTATTGGCCTTTAATTGGGGAACGGCGTCAATGATGGTTCCGGAAACCCCTGGTGCCCAGATGCTGCCTTGCCGCTTGTCTGCGGCTTATTAGGTGCGGAAATCTTTATTGATTGATGCATTGTTTGTTTTGGCTTGTGGACGACTCTGTGACTCCTGCCACGACCGCCCGCATTGTCTGGCGCAGGAGGTGTCGAGGGACATCCTTTGGGGGAAGGGGAAATTAGAGTGCCAAGTGGTAAAGTGCTTACATCTCGGATCGTAACCCATTCGATCAGACATCGACATTGGCCTAGGGCTGGAAGTGGCTTTCCGAAAACTGTGAGGCGACCTGGGACAAGATGCTCATGGGAAGCAGATGCTTTCCGAGAGTTATTGAGCAGTGGTTGAGGATTACCATCATGATTGTGATAATATTAACTCAAGTTAACAATCTTCTTGGCTAAATTGGACATATAACAGTTGGTTCAACTCTGTAAGGCCTTACCAACCTCCTTTTAAGACTGCAAATTGCATTGGCAATGCAAGGAACAGGACGAGACGGAGTAAAAGATGAAATTATGGAAACAGGGAGAGATGAAAGGACGAGAAATCGCCTTTAATTAGTTCGCCTTTCGTTTAATGCAATCGCGAAAAAATATTTTTAATTTAAAACGCGTAATTCAATATCTCGGGTAATTTTATTTACCGCCCACCCCAACCACTTACCACTCACTTCTGATGGCCGAGGGCGTGGCTGTTTGTGGGCCAGGACACAAAGTGCTGCCAGTCATTGGCGCTGTCCTCCGCCATCCGCGGGTCCTGTTCAGCTTTTACTCCGACACAAAGTCGAGTCGGGCATTCTTGCGTGCACTCCGATCGATGTTGCACATACATATAGCCGATATATACCGGAGTATATACGCATGTATAATCGGGCGATATGTGGGACAGCCCTCGTCCTCGTCCTCGCCCTGCACTGTGTAAATTGAGGCAGGAAATGCCGTTCGAGGGTTCAAAGTTGACGATTTTCAGGTCAAGAGTTGTGCTGCAACAGCAACAACCTTGCCACTTGCCACTTGTTGTTGCCCCTCCGCTTCGCATTTACTGGCAATTTTTACTTTTTTGTTTTTTTTTTTTCTTTTTTGGAGCTGCTGCTTTTAAGTGGCGATCAAATTTCCTGATTGAAGCTTCGAGTGCAAGGCATTGTGCAGCTGCTGGTCCTTAAACAGGATACACCAAATGACCCACAGCGAGATAATGGAGGAAGGGGGTAATTGCAAAAATTGAAGCTAAAAATTTCAACAAACGGAGGAAGTCCAGTGGCCGGAATAGAAATTCGATACCAATTCGGCCTGGGAAGTCCCTTAAAGGACCTTAAGCTGCATTAAACTCACGCAGTCTTTATCAAGAGAGAATCTATATATATTTAGCTATATACTATATAAGCACATCAATCCTACTGTTGCTAATTACAATTCTACACCATATAAAGTCTCAAAATTTACAAAATGATATCATACAATGAACAATTTTTAACTGTGACTTCCCAAATTATATTCAAAGAATGTTAAGGTCAATACCTACTAGTTATTTTATGAAATAAGAATATATAGGATTATTTCGGGATATATTTACTAAAGAGGGATTGATTTTTATATATTTCAAACTTATTATTTTTATGAAAACATGTTTTGGTACTTAAGTGAACCATATTAGTACATAGTGCATTCTTCAAAATATATTTTATGCCTTTTTTATTTATCTATGTATTTAATTTTGTTCATAATTTCATTTTATACAATTAAGTTACTAAGGTATTAATGGTACTTAAAATAACAATATTGGAAGCTAGCTTCGAAAATCCTTAAGGTTGCACTTAAATCGATTTATGGATTTGATTTTAATTTTTACAATTTTACACTTACAATTATAGCACTAGTCACATGATAAGGAGAAACCATAATACATTTTTATATAAAAGCAATCATCATCAGCTTAAATCTTTAGTAAACGTTCCTATTAAAGCTATGTGTTATGATATAATCGAAAAATCGTTAAAAATATGTACTCAGAGTAGCTCCGAAACGTAAAAACGGTGTATAGATATGAAAAAGACAGACGGACATGTCTAGATCTTCTCGACTGTTGATGCTGATTAATGCGCTACAAACTTCTGATTAAAATTATAATATTCTGCTGGGAAAATATAAATAATTGACAATATGCCAAAGGTCTAGACTTCGTCTATTAAATTAATTAATTGGTTCCTCTTCCCCATTTAAGATCGAGGCGACAACTAACTGAGTCCTTGATACCCTTTCCGATTCTGTACAATCCCAGGATAATGTGCAATGTGTCAAATGCAGGCAGGAGATTCTTTCCCTTGCTCTGCTCTCCATACCGAAATCTTGCTCAAACATTTTGCGTACAACAGGAAATTGATTTTGCATTGACAGGAGCTGGCAGAACGCAGCCTCCGACCATGTCCTATGCAAATACTTTCAGACTTCAAAAAAATTTGCTTCACGCGGCGTTGCCACACTGCGAGAGTCCTGAAAGAAATGACAATTTCTTGGGCTTCTGCCCAGACCGGGGGAAGGCTGTCAAAAAAGCTTCAGCAACAACTTCCGCTACATGGCAGGGAATTTGTGGAATCGCTGGAATCGCTGGAATCGGTGGACTCGGTGGAGGAGGCGACCTGCGCTCAAAAGTTAAGCCATTAGCGAAATGTCCTTTACTTTGCTTATAACGCAATTTTCTGCTTCTTTTCTCGGCTATGAGTCCCTACCACCCTTCCCACCCCTTCCCTAGCCAGTTCACTGTTTGTTTCGGACACTTTTTGGACCAGTTCTGGGCGGTTCTGGTTTGGGTGCCCGCCGAATGACATCTTCACTGTCAGCATTTCGCAACTTTTGCACCGTCCCTCGCCAGCGATGGCGAACTTTTCGGCGCTAATGAAGTCAAAGGATATTTTTTCATCGTGAGCCTGACAGCCTAATTAGTAAATGAAAATCGGCTTTGGAAATTGGGGGAAATCCTAAAATTACAAAAATTGGATTTGATTTGAAATGAAATCATTTTTAAATTATTTTAAAGACTTGCCAATATTAATTCTTTTATTGGCCGATAAGTTATACAAGTTATAAGTACCTGACTGTGTATAATGCTTATTAAAATAATAGAATATTAACTGCTTCTTTACGTTATATTTTTGATGTATCAAATATTCTTATTATTGTCTTCTATTTCTGTTATTTCACTTATTATTGCTTTTTCTTACTAAAATACTTTTTGATTTAAATCGGACTATTTTTTGGCTACATAAAATAATAGGAGTGTTCATTTAAAGTTCACATAAAATTTAAAAATTATATTAAGTTCTATTTTCAATGCATTTTTAAATATTTATAAATCTGAGAAAGTAAAGTATTAATGCAAAATTTTAATTAAAATTAAACTACGAAACAGATGTCGAAAAAGTTCAAGTACTTAAATAATAGTCAGAAGCTGTAATTAATGTAAGTTAATGGATGAATTTAGCTTAAATGCAATTTAAAAAAATAATAAATAAATAAATTATAGGGAAATTATTAATTTAAAGACAATCACCCAAAACCCTCGAGCAACTTTCAGAAGAAGTTCGAATGTTTCTAATTTCTAAAAGGTAGCTAAGCGATCTTTCCAGTTTCTTGATTCGAGAACTAAATTAAACTCTTATGGGCGGTTTGAGATAATAAAACTGTATATTTATATTTCCCGTATAGCGAAGCAAATTTTAATCCCACCAAAATTTTACAATTAATAATCAATTTATCAAGTTTAATTAAACATAATATATAAAAACAATGACAAAGAAAATAAGGTCTCATATTTGAGATAGCATTTCATACAGAAAAAAACCTCTACTTTAAATTTGAAATTCAAAATATAACAAATACGACAAAATGTTAAATCTTAATGCAGGCAAAAATGGAATGGATTTTTAATAGTCATTTTGTAAAACGTAAAATGAGAAACCCTTTTTTTAAAATTGGTCTATTTTTATTTATTTTCTATGTGCACTCCTATGTTTTGATAACTTCTGAAGATAAAAAATGTATATTATGGAATAGTTCAGAGCATTATTAATCTCCAAGCAAGTTTAATTTATATTGTGAAATAAAATACTGCAGAGATATTTTCTGTGCATTATCTAATGAAATCGAAATATTTCAACAGCTCTGGGTAGCCTGTGGCCTCTGTATAGCTGCTGTTAGCTAACAGCATTTAGGAGATAAATCTGAACGAAACTGGAGTACAGCGCGTAACACGGCTGCATAATTGTTAACATGCCGAAAGTCTCTCCCCTGCATTTCCCCTCCGAAAGATGAAGAGACACGCACTTTTAACCTTCAAACTAAAAAGTTCGTTGAGTTCTCTCTCGGTCTTGTGCTCTCAACGGCGATGCTGCGACCGAGCAGCGCTGCCGACGGAAGCAGCGGCGGCATGCGCAAAGCGAATCGCTCAAATTAGACAATGCATTTGTGTGCGTCTCTCTGCTCTCTCACTCTTCCTCCCACGACACTTGCGCTCTGCAGCTCTCAGCGCTCTCAGAACTGAACGAAGGCGAGAGTGCGAAAAAACCCGTTCAGTTGTACGCTCTCGAGAGCGTATTCCTTTTTATTTTCCGTTTTATAGCACTCAGAGCATCGAAATAGAGAGAGTGAGAGAGCCAGAGAGAGTGAAGCAACGGCAAATTGGGAGAGACTAGCTGAGAAACGAGAATAACACTCCGAGTGCGAAAGAGAGAGATGGAGATACTGGATTCGCTGCCTCGTTCAATTTTCAGCAGAGTAACGACTCCGTAGTTCGAACCTAAATCGGCCAGTTTTTTTTCGAAAAATTCATTCAACGAAGGCGGTTGTGCCGCTCCGTCGCGGAAAAACGGAAAAGTCGTAACTGGAAAAAACTTCGGGATTTTCCAAAGGAAAATATTCAGCCGCGTCGGTCGCTAGTGTTTGTTCGATCCGCGCCAGAGTCCGAGCAATGTGAATATATCGGCTCATTTGTACCAAAAAACGCAAATATCGGGGGATAAAGTTTGGCTGTAAGGGATTTTGCCAAATTCTGTTTGTGGTCGATCGTGATCCGTTCCGTCGCGTCTCCCTGTCGTGTTTTGTGTGTTTCCCTCGTGCCCCCCCCCAGATTCCGGGTGAGCAGTGGTCCCCGAGAATATAAATAATAAATATTAAATCCCCCAATTGTGATTGTGATTGCAAGCGTAACCCTGATTAACCGCCGAGAAATGGCCAAGTGAAGTGCTGTGCGTAGTGCAGTGTAAAGTCCGTCTTTGGCTTCGCTCCCCCTCTTCTCCTCCTCCTCCTTCTTCTACTTCTTCTTCTCCTCCTCCTCCGTCGCTGTCCGGCTGTCTGGCTGAACGGCCCGGCCCGCAAAAGCCGCCAAGATTAAGTTCTCCAAGCAGCACGCCCACCACGCGTACCGCCACACGGACAACATATACGACGGCGGCACGGACACCGACGACGACGAATGTCCCCTGGAGGCGACCGCCATGAATCCCTACGAGTATGAGTCCACGCTCGACTGCCGCGACGCGGGCGGCGGTCTCCCCCACGCCCACGCCCTGGCCCACCCCCAGCAGGCGCAAGGACGGACGCTGCCCATGAGCGGTCGGCCCTCGGCCCCCGCGGCCGACCACGGCGCCCACGGCAGTCAGACACTGCAGCACCAGGGCCAGCTCAGCCAGCAGAACCTGCAGAACCTGCAGGCCGCCGCCGCCCAGTCGTCGCACTACGACTACGAGTACCAGCACCTGCCGCACCGTCCGCCGGACACGGCCAGCAATACGGCGCAGCGGACACACGGAAGACAAGGTGAGTCAAAGTTCGGAATCGGGCTCCAATTTGGGTTGATTATTATGGTTCAATATCCAGCATTTTAGGGAACTTTAAGGCTTCTTAACCATGCACATGTCACTTTGAAACCCCCTTTAGTTTAGTAACTATAGAATTCATAAACAGTTTCACTCGGAAAGTTTTGTGTGAGCCAGGAACTTAATTATATCCCTAATTAGATACCTTAATCACATTTGAGGTAGAGTACAAAAACTAAAATTGTTGTCTAGGTACAAAATATTAAAGGGAAAACTAATGAGCACCGTTACCTTTTAAATTGAGTAGGACCCACTATTATATTTTTAAATATATGTTATAAATAATAAATAATAATAACAATAACAAATCTTTCTAATGATTGATGGATAAAGGTAGTTTTGTATATGAACATTTATATTGATTTCCCAATTTTCTTTCAAGTGAAAATTAGTAACAGAAATATTCCAAACAATCTCAAATACTCAACCGATTTAAATTAATTAAAACAAAAGGTACTTGTCAAAATTAAGGAAAGGGAGGGAATTCAGTGTTTTTTCGAGTTATCTTCTCTGATTGTACCGAGTTTTACTGAGCTCCTCGATGAAAATCATTGGAGCAGAGGAAGGGCCGGCAAGTTGCGACAAGTTTGAACAAATTACGACGCTTATCGCCGACTGCGGCCAAACATTTTGCATAAATTAAACAAATTAAGGCGACATCCCGCGCTGGGGCCCGACATTGAGCCTGCTCTCGTTTCATATTTCATAATTTCCCTTTTTCCGACTGAGCGCGTTTTTTCACGATTTGTCTGATTAATAAAGCGAGCTCAACAATAGCCAGCGCACAAAGCGCAGTTGAAAAGGATACTCTTTCTGTCAGGCAGTCAGTCCTGGAATTAGGGGAATCCCAGACGTGTCCCCAACCCTCCAGAATGCCTGCGGCAGGAATAGAAAAAGCGAGTCCTCTGAAGGTTTTTTGTTACAATTGCCTGTTCTTACACACTGCACTGCGGAAAATCTGGCACAGAATGTCATTAAATTTTTTAGTTATTCTTTTTGAACACTATTTTGCTATACAAACACTTAATTAAAGGTGATGTTTTATATTAAACATTAAAAAAATGGATAATATCTTTAAGTTTTTAGTATTTACATTTTAAAAGTTGTTTATCATGAAATGGTATTAATTTTATAAAAGATTTTTATGTTTGGAATTTATAAAATCACATACATACATATGTATGTAGTAAAACGAAAAAAAGGGAATTATTTCCAAATGTTAATCTGTCGTGGCAAAATTCAAATTTTTTGCGGTTTTTCTCTGGTTTTGAAAAAGTGTAATTAAAGTAATATGTACATCTGTTTGTATTTATGTATGTAGTTAAAGCAGAGTGCGAATTAATGAAACGAACTAATTAATTAACAGTTCTAATGATTAAAAAATCAGTTTATTATATTTTGTTGTTTGTCACAAAATGTAATTAAAAAAAATAACATCTTTAAAGTTATCACTTTTTTCTCACCTTGTTAAGAGGTGATTTTGTTTTTTTTTCTGTACATACATTTAGTATGTAATTATGTACATATATATGTATGTATGTTTGTAGATTAATTTTAAATTTATCCTCAACCAAGGTGATTAGCACCATCAGCGCGGCTCACTTGCTAACTACTTGCCAGGACCTATCCCACGTTTCAGGGGGATCCCTTGCCCGACAGGACAAGCACACACTAACCACAAACATGCTCCGACATGCTTCAGTTTTATTATTTCCTCCTTTGCTTTTTGGCATTTGAACTTACACACACACACACATACGCTTGCTAGGAGCCGCACATAAAACGGAATTTACATAACTTTATTTCTGGCATTTCCTCTTTGCGCTCTCACCGCCTTCCTCCTCGCCCCCTCCTCCTCCTCCACCTCCTTCTTCTTCCTCCTCTCCTTTGGCTTCTGTTTCGCGTTCGCCCTCGCCTTGGTCTTCTCCGACTTCTTCTCCCTATCAGCGTTTTTGTGGTGTTATAAAAACAATTGCCAAACAATTGAAGCTTTGAATCGAAATAAAAATCAAATGGAAATCGAACAAGAAGAAGAGCGTGTGTGTGTTGTTGTTGTTGTGTTTGTGCGCTACCTGGGAGAAGAGCGAAAAAATTGTAAATTTACAGCAAGAAATAAATTTCGTAACTGGCAAACAATAAATTCCTGAGACCCGAAGACTTGGGAGAATTTCTTTTTCTCTTCTTTTTTTCTGTTTTGGCGCAAGAAATGAAATTCAATAAAGTGGGCCAAAAAGGGGGGTGTGATTGGGGAGGGGCGCAGCTCGTAAATTTTCAACACTTCACCAGGCACCAGCTTTTCCCGCTTTACACGCTTTGCTTCTCCCCCGCTTTCCTCGCTGTCATAAAATGGCCAAAAAGTCAGAAAACCCAGAACCCAGAACCGAAAACAGCAAGAAATGAGGGCCTGGAAAAGCAGCGGAAAATTCCTTTGTTGGCGAATCTAAGGGGGCGTTGTGTTGATGTGTGAAAATCTGCTCCAAACGGGCGAGAAACAGAAGTTTCAAATGTCTTAATGCTCGATTTGTCGGCCGCCAATTAGCCAAATTAGGTTGAGAAAAAAATCACTCAGCTTTATTAAACACAAACCAAGTCCGCAGACATATCCACATCCGAATCCCAATCCAAATCCAAGTCCAGATGGCCTCCAAAACCCAATCGCAAGCCCAATCACAATGCAAAAGCTGAAAGCGAAAAAAGAGCGAGAAACACGCAACTAATTTCGAAAATGGAAGCTCAACAAGGTCACCCACGGAATCGGAATCGGAATCGGATTCCGATTTGGTTTTCGATTTTGATTGGGAATGAAACGCTGCACTTAGAACAAATATTAGGAATAATATATATTCTACATACGTAAATATATTAATCAAATATTCCGATTCAAAAATAATTTGTATAAGAAAAACTTTGTTTGGTAATATTGTAAACAAATTTATAGTAGAAATAGTTCCGAAAATGAATGATAGTAATTTTCTTATCAATAAGAAAATTAATATCTTATAGCTTTAGGCAAAATTGGTTTAAAAACACTTAAATTTGTTTATTTTCTAAATATTTGCAAGCTTTTTAAATTGTTAAATGAGTTATTCTTGAGGATTTGTTCGATTTATACATTTTAGTTATATATATATTATATAATATTATTATAATATTTTTGTTCGAAGTGTTTGCACGCCGATTCCCTTATTCTCACACTGAGTTTTCCAGTTTTTCCAGCAGCGAAAAAACATAACCGAACAGAACGGAGCGGAATCATTTGTTTACGCCGCGTTCGATTAGTTTATGGCCGCTTTAATGAGGCCACTTTGTTTATTTTTGTCTTGGCTACAATTTTGCAAAATGGAAATCCCATTCGGACAATTATTTGAAACAGCCCAACACTTGCTTCTGGGCCCCATAACCGAGGCAATTCGGTATTGTTTGGGTTGGTGCCCGGTGCACTCCACACGGGTGCGGTCGCTCCCAAAAGTGATCTCGGATCTTGGTTTCCTCGGATCTTGGCATGGGCATGTTTCAACAATTTTATGCTTGCGGCGCACTCCCACTTGTTCTCTATTCTATTTTCGGTTTTTGTACAAAGGGGGGGCGCAATATTATAAATGGACGGACAGGAGTGCTTTCGAGTGGGTGAAGGGGCTTCCTGTGCGTCATAGGCATAGTTGGACATGGAGCAAGGGAACCTTGGATTGCTCGCCAATGTGGCATTCAATTGGAAATTGATTAGAATATATTAAACATTTAAAATATAACATTTTATTTTGCTTTTGTATATGTATATTCTTTTACACATTAAGCTGAAATCGAAAACAGATTGTTTGAGCTAGCCTCATAGTTACTTTCTACAATATATTGATACATTTAGTTTGATTTCTTAAGTATTCACAACTTCACTTTTAATCTTAAAATAAAATTTAAAAATTGTTGATTCAATAAGTTGTAATTGTCTGTTTTAAATCAGTTCAAATAACAAAAATGTGTTAACTATTTTGTTCCTACCCACCAGCTTAATCCGAATATAAATTGAAATTGTGAAAATTGTGATTATGAATCATTATAAAAGAGCAACCCCTGAGATTCGTATTTAGATTTTCCCGAACTGAACTCTTGCTGTAGGACTCCAGATTCCCTGTTGACATAGGCCAGCCTAAGCAGCCCATCAGTTTCGCTAATCCTCGCCGGCAAACTAAGCCGCTCATCGGCTATTCCCCAAAATCAACCTGAGCGAGGACCTCGGCCGGCGTTAGGCCCTTAATGACACCACAAAGCCCAGCTGTCATATTTGGAGAACCTGTTTTTGGGCCAATCGAATAAAACTTTACGATTTCGAATCTGATTCAGCTCGTTGACGTGGCCATTGTTGGTGGTTTTCCCGGATGCCGGTATCCGGACTCCCCGCAGGCATTTGTAAAATGTCTGCAAGGATTTTTTCTGATTTCTCCCATTCCCGTTTCCCGTCCCGTTCACAACTGTCAATGTCAAGAGGAGATGCAGACTAGGCGCCGGCACCGGGCAAAATTCCAACTTATTACTTCCTGACAGCTGTCAAAAAATATGCAAACACCCCCAGTAACAACAACAACAACTAGAACCGCAGGAAAAGCGACCACAGCCGAAGCTGGAAAAACTATGCGTCGAAATGTGCGCAGAATTATGTAAATCAAAGCGATTTGTAGCAGGCGAAAAGGCAAAAAAATAAAGGAGGGAAAATAAAAAAGGAGTGGAAAAGGTGGAACAGAAAAATTGACAGCGTCGGGAAATTCAAAATGTCGAGAGCAGAATGAGATGGCGAGATGTTGAAGAGCGGATGGAATGGCTGCCAATGGAATGCTGGGAAAATTACATGTAAACAGCAGGAGGCCAACAATGCCTCCTCGTTCCCCTGGATTCTTCTTTATTTTTGCGAAATAACACACAAAAGAGCCGGGAGAGGAGGACGCACAA